GCATCTGCCAATCCTCCTCTTTTTTTGCTGAGGAAGACTGGCCCTGGGCTAACATCCGTGCCCATCTTCCTCCACTTTATATGGGACGCCGCCACATCATGGCTTGCCAAGCAGTGGGTTGGTGTGCGCCAGGGATCCAAACCGGAGAACCCCGGGCTGCCGCAGCAGAGCGTGTGCACTTAACTGCTTGCTCCACCGGGCCGGCCCCTCTTTCTTTCATTTTTCTTTAACACGTGGACTTTCTTTTAATAGTCTATGTGTCACTACCCCATTCTCTCTCTCACAACCCCCTTAATCCCAAGATGCCAAAATTAAATATACGAAAGCTAAGTCTAACCTAACTGCTTTCACCTACCTTCTAAGGAAGTTGAACTAAGTGAAAAAGGAGTTTTGTATGAGGCTCTGCAGCTTTTCCTGCATCTGTAAGATCCCTCTGGGAAAGGGAGATGATCAGTAGGGTCACATTACTATTGACGGGTAGAAAAACCTAAGACATTCCATTATCACCTTAGCTTTAGTAGTGTATCTTCTTTACTCTTTCCATGATGCTTGTGAGACTCTTTAGTTACCAACATTCTCTTAATAAATAGGTAATCATTAAGAGAAGATTTTATCCTTTTGGTAGCGTTCACTCTGTACCCTTCCTTTTAAGGATGATTAAAGGAAATTCAAGTCAATGAAAAATACATGTATTGTATGCCTACTATAGAATAAATTTTCTGTTTCCTAATGAAGATAAAAGGCAAACAAGCATGGAAAATTGCTGCTTTGAAAACTAAATGACATAGTGTCTGTGATAACTTAATAAAGTAATGTAAATTGAACTCAATAAACTGCCTTTTTGGGTATAGCGCTAACAAAGGCTGCTCCATTTGTTCCAGAGGCAGGTCCCCTGTTTGCCTTATAGTAATTTCACAAGAAACAAATATGCTTGGCGCTGTAATTGTACAGCACAAGATGGACAGCAGCCAGTTTTTCAGGGTGGAATACAGAGTGCAGGCTCTGGAGTCAGGCTGCTTTGGTTCAGATCCCAGCTCTACCACTTACTATCTGGGTGAATTGGGGTAAATTATTTAATCTCTCTGGGTCTCAGTTTTCTTAACTGTAAAATTGGGATTATAATACTTACTTCCCTTAGAGTTATTATGAAAAATAAAGATGGGACATATAACTGTTTAATATAGTGCTGGCTTTGCTCTGTAAATGTTAGTTTTTGTTTATTAAACAGATATTGAGCTGTTTCCTAGTCACATTATTGCTAACGACTATGCACAGCCAAGCTCTTGGAGGCCTAAATTGCTATCAAACAATCTATATTTTACAATTAATAATATCAGTAACTAACATTCACTGAGTGTTTTTTAGTGCCAAGCATTATGCTAAATGCTTTATATGCTTTAAGTTATTTATTCTTAATCCTACAAAGTTAGGTATTAGTATTGTCTCCACTTTGCATTGGAGGACACTACATTCCAGACAGTTCATTCAATTAGGAGTAAGGGAAGTCAGGATTTGAATCCCATTTGACTGCTGAGCCCAGGTCCTTAATCATGATGTATGTGATCAACCTTTTAGACCCTCAAAAAACGCTACTTATGATATATGTACAGTAGAGCTTATTATCTGCTTTGGGCACTACATGGGAAGGCTTAGGTTTTTGTCAATTCCACTATAGGTAAGGATGTAAAAGCAAACTGCTTCTAAATGTATGGTGTATATTTTATATTTGTTTTGTTAGAGGTAGAGGGTCTGACTGAAGATAACGTAAGGATCTACTAGATCTTGAACACTAAGGATACTTTTACGTTATTGCCAATTAAATAGCTATAATCTCACTAGTAGTTTGTGTAGCCTGTATTTCACTATAGCTAAAAATATTTATTAGAACTTGACAGATTGTTCTTTTTATATTCAATCTTAGACAAATAATTTTAAATTGAAAATGGTATATATTTTGAAATGGTAAATGTAAAGATTATCCTAAACATGATAAAAATAGTTATTATTAATTTACAATTGACAGAATTTCAAGCTAATTTATGAGTTATTTAAAATTATACTGCTTGGTGAAGTACAAAATTCTAGGAAAGGCTGATATTAATTTGCTGTGGAGCTGAGATATATAAAACGTTATTTAAGGGGCTGGCCCCATGGTAGTGGTTAAGTTCAGTGTGCTCCACTTCGATGGCCCAGGTTTGCGGGTTTGGATTGCAGGCGTGGACCTACACCCACTTGTCAGCCACGCTGAGGTGGCGACCCACATACAAAATAGAGGAAGATTGGCATGGATATTAGCTCAGGGCTAATCTTCTTCAAGTGGAAAAAAAAAAAAGAGGAAGATTGGCAACAGATGTTAGCTCAGGCCAAATCTTCCTCACCAAAACAAACAAACAAACAAAAAACATTACTTAGATCTTATAAGGAGATAACATATTCATTGGAGATTATCTAATTATAATGTTATTTGTTTATTTATTTTGTTTTAATAGGGAATTGATATGGGAGATAGATGGACTTTTCATAGTTTAATTGATGAAGAAAGAAAATCTGGCCTGTTATGGAAGTATCTGTTGGCTGGAGGCATAGCGGGTACTTGTTCTCGAACGTGCACAGCACCATTAGAGCGTCTAAAAACCCTAGTGCAGGTGTGTTGCGTAGTTCATGTGCATGTTTTTGAGCGATGTGAATAATATTTGATGCTTTTCAAAAGAAGGATTTCAGAGGTCTTAACACTATTCCTTGATATTCTCATGTGCAAATTACTTCATTGCCAGTTATCTCCTGGACTCATTTATTCAATAAGCTGCCAGGCACTCAACTCATTTTTAGGTACCAGAAAGCAAATAATGCGCCATTCTCATCCATATGAATTTTGGAGTTTAGTGATGGAGACAGATATGTAAACAAATAATTAAACACAATCTAATAATCTGGCACTAGTGTTCTGGGGAGGGCAAAAATTAGGGAAGTCTCCTTTTGTATGTGTGTGTGTGTGTGTGTGTGAAGGCTAGACAATACTTTGATTTTCTCCATGGGTTGGAAATTGTGATACCAAGAGACAGATACTGGTCAAAGAATTACACTCCTTTATTCCGTATCAAATACGGGGCTCTGCAGGTGGAGTTCTTCAATTGTCTGAAGAGTTTTGGGTCCTAGAGCTGTTGTAGTCCCTTTGAAGATGGTACGGGCAATGGGGATTGCCCGAGCCTGGCAGCCAAGTCTCTGTGGTTATGACTGTCCGACTGAAACAAGGGGAGAAGGGATTCTGCTCTTTTCGTTTTTCTACTCAAGCCAGAAATTATGGGCCTATGACAACATTCAGTCACTATCTCCTTTTACCTTTTTTGGGTCATTAAAGAACAAACTTCTTTCTAATTTTTATAGCACTATACAAAGCAAGGAAGCCTGTCTGGCTGCTGGTATTTTGGGTTCAAAGCAGGGGAAAGGAGCAGAAGGCCTACTGTCCATTGTGCATATTTTTTCACTTAATTCATTTGTTTTCAGTCCCATGCCTCACTGAATTCTTGAATTCCATATTCCTGAATCAAGAGCCTCTTCGCTTTCTCCAGAGAATAAAGCCTCAGGGGTTTTTAAGGGCAAATTGACCTCTATGTGCATTCCCCTCTACAGACACTTAAGTTGTAACTTTTACTCTGCTATATCAGTTATCACTTTTCCATTTGCTTTCCATCTCCCCCAAATCTGTTGAAATCACTAGTACACTTTTTTCTTGTATATTAATAATGACCACATAATTTTCATTTGAACCAAGACATTTTTAAAAGTGAAAGGGGGGTGCTTAATAATCATGGAGGGACGACTTTGAGGTAAACTTACAGCCACCCTAGTTATTGCCTTATTTATTACTTGACTATCGTTTTTTGTGGTTTGGGGAGGAAGAGGAAATAAACATGTGTGGTCAATCTACGATTTTTACTGAAAGTCAATTTCTTGCATGTTTAAAAATTACTTTATTTTGCCTTTCCCCTTGATTGGCAGTTTGTCTGAGTATGGACACCAAGGTTAAAAATGCTTTCCCTCAGAACTTTTAAGGCGTTACTCTACTATTTTCTAGCATCCAGTGTTACTTCTGAGAAGTCTGATGCCACTCTGATTTATAGTTGCCCTGGTTTTCCTCTGGAAAGTTTTTAGTCATGGCTCTACACTGGGCGTTCTGAAATTGTACAATGTAAGTTTAGGTAGGTTCTTTTTTTTGTCCATTGTGCTTGATATTTGGTGGGCTCTTGCCAACTGTAAACTTATATCTTTCCTCAGCATTAGTATATTCTATTATTTCTCTCTTAATTTTCTTCCCTCCATTTTCTCCCTCCTGGAATTCTTATTAGTTGGATGTTGTACCTCCTGGATTGACCCCCATACATCTGATCTGTTCATAAATATTTTCTTTCTTTTTTTTTTTTTTTGCTGAAGAAGATTCACCCTGAGCTAACACCTGTTGACAATCTTCCTCTATTTTGTATGTGAGCCGCCGCCACAGCATGGCCACTGATGAGTGGTGTAGGTCCATGCCCGGAAACCAAACCTGGGCTGCTGAAGCAGAGCATGTCAAACTTAACCACTAGGCCACGGGGGCTGGCCCCATAAATATTTTCTATCACTATGTTGTTTTACTCAATATTCTGGGAAATTTCTTTGATCATAGTTTTCAACCTTTTTATTGAACTTCTTATTTTAGCAATCACATTTTTAATTTCCAAGAGCTCTTTTTATCCCTTTGATTGTCCCTTTTCAGAGTATCTTTTTCTTGTTTGGTATTTTTTTATTGATTAAATATCATCTTGATTCTTTCTGAGGATATTCGAGGTTTCCTTATATTATTTTGTCTTAGTTAACTGTAGTTTCCTGAATTGCCACTATTTTCTCTGGAATTAGTTATTCTGTTTATCTTAGTTTTAGATTTTTATGCTGCATTCCTCTCCCTGTATATATGGTGATTCTTTATTGTTCTTTCATATTCAAAATGAAGGATTGGATATTTTAGGTCACTGGTATAGATTTCCTCTGCCATTAGTTGTGTTTTCTAGCTATGTTTCTCCCACAGAATTTTTAAAATTGAGAGATAATTGACATATAACCTCATATTACTTTCAGGTATATAACATATAATTTGATACATGTATGTATTACAAAATGATCACCACAGTAAGTCTAGTTAACATCCATCACCACACATAGTTACAACTTTTTTTCTTGTGATAAGCACTTTTAAGATAAGCACTCTACTCTCTTAGCAACTCATAATTTGTGTTATAAAAGGAATTTACACATCCTGTTTATTTGTATTCTCTCCTGTCACCAAGGGAACCAAGGAATGACCACAAGAACTAAATTCCCTGTGAATTAGTTACTTGAAAACTCCACAAGTTTTTTGTAGCCTCATTGTTTCTTTTGCCATCTTCTCTTTCCCTCTATGCACGGGAGGCTCCTGCTTCTGCATTCTGCCACACTCCCTCAGACCTCTCTCACTGAGGGTGAGATACCAGGGCCAGGGTGCAGGGACCCCTCCCAGGTTTTGCCCTTCCCTTGTAGCTCTCTCACTTTTTCCTTTATATGTCTTGAGGCCCCAAATTTGTATACTCTTGGTGAATTGAACCTTTTATCATTGTGAAGTGACCCTCTTTATCTTCATAAACACTTTTAGTTCTATTCTATCTGACATTAATATAGCCACACTCCCCTCTCCTTGTTGGGATTTGTGTGATGTATCCTTTGTCACCCTTTTATTTTCAAACTTTCTGTATTTATATGTTTTAGATAAGTCACTTACAGCATACGGTTGAATTTTGTCATATCTTTAACTGAAAGATTTATTCCATTTATAGTTAATATACTTATTAATATTTTTATTTAAAACTACCATCTTATTTTATGCTTTTTATTTGCCTTGCCTATTCTAAGATTCTCTTTCTCCTTTCTTGCCTTCTATTGTATTTTAAAAAATCCTTCTGGTTTTTTCCCCTCCATTAGTTTTTTTGTTTGTTTTTAAAATATCACTTGTAGTGATAATTTGGGGACTAGGATGATGATATCCAACTTCAGACCAGATTTTTGTTTGTTTCTGTCAGGTACCTGGGAGTGCTGTCCATCTGGGATCACTTTAATTCAAGTTCAAGTCTTGAAGTTCCCTGGATGGCCCAGGTGATACAAAGCCATGCAGCGAGTCCTTGCAGAGGCTGCTTTCTTCCCATTTACCCTTACCGTGAGGGTATAGCCCTGCAAAGCCCCAATTTAAAGTGGAGGTGGTTTGTCAGAGGCCTATACCTTTGGTGGGCGTGAGCTTTCTCTTTTGTTCTCTGTTAACCCTGTGAAGCCACCAAAACAACAACTTAATTTCACAATTGTTTCTTCTGTATCCAAAATACACTTGAGTGCTCGTCTTACCTTTCTGGGTTTTCTCCTTCTCTCCTAGATATTGGCCCTGTAATATGTCTCTGTCTTGTTAGCTCATGGGTACCTTTAAGAAAAACACATTTCGTCAGCTTTTTCAGTTGTCCTTAGTGGGAAGTTCAGTCCTAATTACCTAGCTTGCCATTACCACAAGTGGAATTCTATGTATATCTTAAGGCTTTTGATATTTTGTCATATTTCCCTTCAGAAAGGTAATACTAATTTATACTTTTCCTAGTAACTTATGTATTACCTGTTTGCCTGTATCCTCACCAACACCAGGTAATATTTTATAAAAGATCTTGTTGGCAAGAGAGATAATAAGTGGTGCACCAAAACTTTCAGGAGGATCTAAAAACTGGAGTGAATCCTGTCACTTATATATACATATATATATTTTTTGTGTGAGGAAGATCAGCCCTGAGCTAACATCCATGCCAGTCCTCCTCTTTTTACTGAGGAAGACTGGCCCTGGGCTAACATCTGTGTCGATCTTCCTCCACTTTATGTGGGACGCCGCCACAGCATGGCCTGACAAGCGGTGCCTCGGTGCGATCCGGGATCTGAACCTGGGCTGCCGCAGTGGAGCGCGCGCTCTTAACCGCTATGCCACCAGGCTGGCCCCTTGTCACTTATATTTTTATCTTACTAATGGCATTTATGACTACCTAGGAGAGAGTTGAAGTATATCCTTTTCAAAATTATCAGTGTTGTTAATATTATATTCCATTCTATAATCATATTTATATCCTCTATGTTTTATCAATAGGATTATTTTAACTGTTTAAAATCAATAAATAGCATTTATGTTCTTATGATGATATAAATATTATTCATTGTAAAGCCAAGTGGTGTGCCAGAAAAATATTTCTTTCTCTATGGATCTAATGCCATACCTCCTGGTGGTAGATTGTTTGCAAAGATAGACTCCATAATTCTTCCCATCCTTGTTAGCACACTCTTTGCAATGTGACTTTGCTACTCCTCCTATCAAGAGGTGGAGTTTATTTTTCCATCCCTTGAATCTGCATTGGCCTTGTTCAGGGACTTCTAAGCCTAGGCTTCAAGAGATCTTGCAGCTTTTGCTCTTGCTTTCTTAATGCCTTGAGACCATCGTGCAAAGAAGCCTGGACTAACCTACTTGAAAATAAGAAACCACATGGAGAGAGAGAGGCTCAGCTAACAGTGAGCACCAATCACCAGCCGTATGTTTGAAGCCATCTTGGACCATCCAGCTCTAGTGAAATTGTCAGATGACTACAGCCACATAAGTGACCAGAGGAAAGAATAGCAGAAGAACCACCTAGTTGATCCCAGTCCAAATTGCTAATCCATAGAATCACAAGCAAATGAAATGGTTGTTGTTTGAGCTACTGAGTTTTGTAGGGTGGTTTGTTACACAGCAATAGTTAACTGATATACCTTATGTCACTCGAAGGAGAATATTTTGATTACATTATTACATTATGACTTGACTCTATAGGAGGAATGGTTTAAAAAATATTTAACAATCTGTGTAGACTAAAGAATGCCACAAAGGCTACAGTACCAATAAATGGCCATGTAAGGTAACTTTTGGAGTGCACTGGCTGGTGGTGGTCTGTCACAGCTCTGGGGTCAAATGGATACATAGCATTTGCCTGTCAGGGTGCAAATGTCACCTTCAGGGGCGTTTTCTCCCCTGTCTTTGTCTGAACTTGCTCTGAACTGACATGAGAGGGTGGTTGGCTGGTAGGAAGGCAGGTATGTAGACTGGTTAGTGGTCACCTGGGCAGGCACCCCTTCAAAGTGGAGTCCACCTGGGACTCCCTGGAGCCAAAGTGACTGGTGCAGTAGGGGGTGGGTATGCAAGGGCTCAGCTCAGTGACTGTGTACCAGCCAGTCTAGAAGTATTTCCTTATTTTATATATTGGTTGAATATCAGCCCTCCTATACAGATTTATTGCACAATTAAAGCAAACATTTATTATTGTGGCTGTACAATACAGGTATCATTCTGAGTTTACATGTCTTTCTCTCTTCAATAGTGAGTTGGTAATTGTCTTCTGGCTGCAGCTAACTTAGTGATTATCCTCATTCTGGTTCTTGGATTTTTGTTTTTTCATTTTTTGGTCATTTTTTCCACCTTTCCTCTTCATATATGTATTGCATGGAGGCTTCTGGTCCCCTCCACATTTAGTAAGCATCCAACTGTCTTACTGCAAGGGGTGCCTTCCCAGGTCCCCTAAAAACAAATAGCTCTTTAGTACTTCTTATTTTTAAACCACTTTTGCATCTTCTCTTACTGGACTATATTCGTTGAATTTGTCTTTTTTTCCTCCTGTTGTCTTCAATCACATGCTGGATCACATTGTTCTGGGCTTAATTTTTCTTATGTTATACTCAGTATATTCAATGTACCAGGCACATTCTCTGATGCTGTCTCAAGGCTAAACTGAATATCTCTTTTCCGATATGTGCCATGGAGAAAGTCTCAGGTCTGTTGGCCACAGAATTAGTTGGATTTCACCTCTGTTCTCTGCTTACACTGACCATAATGATCATATTTGTTAGAGGCTTCACAGCCACTTGTTAGCAATAAGTTCTCTGAGTTTCAGTGTCCTTAGCTTTTCAGGAATGTGGCTTCTTTGGTTCTGATTTTGAAATTTACACCTGATTCATTCTTTTCATCATGGGAGAGCCATTTGTTCATCCCCCTGAGGAGCAGGAAACAAAGCAACCATGTTTATGGCATGTTTATCCATGTCTCACGTCTAAGGTGTCCTCCTTCCTAAGCTATAGAGCAGGGATCAAAATAAACATGCTTCCAAAGCTTTCTAATCACCCAAACAGCTGCTGCTTCCCCAATAGGAGAGACTTTCAATATTTTGGGAACTTTAACTCTTTCCTGCCTACCATATGAGAATTACAATATGTGATTTTCAAAGCTCTTCAAGTCATGTTGTGATTTTCAAAATTCTTCCTTTCCTTTCCAAGGCTCAGAGTTTAGAAACACAGAATGTGAAGATAATAAGCCGTTTAATAGAGATGGTGAAAGAGGGTGGAGTCATTTCTTTGTGGAGAGGAAATGGTGTGAATGTTCTCAAGATTGCTCCTGAAACAGCTGTTAAGGTCTGGTTGTATGAACAGGTAAAGCTGTACTGCCTATGACATTTATTAACAAGGAAAAGTTATTAAATTTTATTTTTTAAAAAATTGCCTCAGAGTATTACAAAACAAAGGGAAACTGTTGTTAATATCTATATTGGAACAGTATTATAATATTATTATATAATAATAATGCTTTTATTTTATCTTAATGCTGTTTTTAAAAGAAATTCCTTCTTTATGGTCTTAATATTTCCTCAATAAAAGCTATTTTAGATGATGCATTTGGGTTTCTACCTTGAAACTTCACAATAGTATAGTAAGTTCACTGAATTCAACTTTATATCATTGAATCACGGAAGACAAAATGAGGCAGTGGACAGAGCAGGGCTTTAGAGACCACAGACATGTATTTGGCACATTCTAGCTGTGTGAACTTGGACAAGTTCCCATAATGTCTCTGAACATCAGTTGTCTCATCCATAAAATGTGGGAAGTCATATCTACCCTGCAAGAAGCTGGGCACATCGTAAGCACTCAATAAACAGTGGTCCCAAGTATTACATAAAGCATAATACAGGGTACCATGGGAAAATGATACAGAGGGACTCAAACTAGGTTGAGGGCTAGGAAAGTCCTCCTGGAGGAGGTAACGTTTGAGTTGAAACCAAAAGGGTACGTGGAAAATTTCCAGTTGAAAGACAAAGCAAAGAATGTTCCAGGCGGAGGGAATAACATTTGTAAAGCCCTGGAGGGAAAAGAGCAAGGTGTGTTTAACGTACTAAAAGAAGCTCAGTATGGCTAGAGTGGAGATTGTGGTTAAAGATGAGGCTGAAGAGGCAGGCAGGCAAGTGAGGAAGGGCAAAAGCTTGTGGAGGGAGAACAGTTGGGCCGGTATGCTGTAATCCAGGTGAGAGGTGAGAGTGATATCAGTGGAGAGAAAGTGGATAGATCATAAAGGTATGTAGGAAGTAGCTAAGATTTTGTTATAATTGCTTGTGAAGTGTAAGAGAGAGGGAGGTGTTAAGGATGATACTGAAGTTTCTAGTTTGTTCAACTGGGGCCATTTATTGTGATGGGGAACACCTGGGCAAGACTATGTCACACGTTCCCAGGGGCACCATTCATAGTATACTATTTTTGGAAATGACAGCTATCCTTTAGGAAGATCACAAGATTTGGGGGAGGGAAGAGTGTGCATTTAGCTTCAGGCATGTGGAGCTTGAGGTGCTCTTATCAGTTAGGAATCTTTAGGTCATAAATAACAGAAAGTGGGACTCAAATTGGCTTGCATAATAATACAGGGAATTTATTTTCTCACATTCAGAAATAGGGTGGACTTCTGATGAGGCTTCATTTATCAGCTTAAGCGTCACTAAAGACTCCATTTCCTCCCCTCTCTTCTCTCTGACTCACACTGAGTGCTTTTTCCTAAGATTCACTCCCTTTGTGGGTGAAAGATGACTGCCAGAGGCTTCCAGGGTTTCACGTTTCTTTGTTCCTGTGTAGCAGGAAGACAGCTGACTCTCCTTGCTGTTCTCTCAGAAGAGAAAGGGAGCTTCTTTCGAGAAGTCTCACTATAACATTTCCTTGGATCTCACTGGTCCAGGTTGTGTCATATAGGCATTCTTGAACTAATCAATATTGCAGAGTGATAGGATGTACCGATTGGCTTGAAAGAAGCTAAAATAAAGACCACAGTGGCCAAGGAGATATTCTATTGAAAATCCTTAAGGAAAACTTTATCATCAGTGATATATGCAGTAATAATGATCACTTCCTCAGTTTCTATGTGGCAAGCACTTTACATGTCTGCATTATTGCATTTAATCTTCACAACACTTCTGCAAAGTACGAACTGCAGGTATAATGGTGATTGGCATGGACAAGGCACTTACCTTCATTTTCCAGATAAAGAAACTGAGTTATAGAGAAGTTAAATAACTTGTCCTAGATTACTCAATAAGCGACCTAGCCAAGATCAAATCCTGGGTTTGTTTGTCATGTCATGTTGCTGCATTAAAATTTGACACAGTTGCTATCAGAACTTATTGCATAAGGTTCTCAGTTGTTTCCGTCTCAATGGTTTCCATTCTTATTATATTAATTCCTTACTATAATCAACACTTGTTAGATGTCTGCTATATACCAGATCTTATTCTAGGCAAAAAGACATACAAGAAGTCTCTACTGTTAAGGTTGGGGCCTTCTATCCAATGTACATGAGTATATTTAGGTGCTTGGTAATGTGCATTATAAATTACACGCCTAGGTATTCATTGATATTGAATAAGTTGTACGCCCTTTGCGACTTCCGAGTACTAACATACCTTTGAACTCTTGTTAATACAGTATATGAAGTTTCTTTCTTCTGAAGGAGTCAAATTAGAAACTATTGAGAAGTTTGCTTCTGCTTCTTTGGCTGGTGCTACTGCACAGTCTTTTGTTTACCCCTTAGAGGTAAGTGCTGTTGAAAAAAGCTGATTTAATTGCTTTCTTTAGTAAAAATTATGGCTAATTTTTTTTTTCAAATGCGCCACAATCCTCTTATCATTAGTAGCAATTATATTGAGCAGGAAAATTCTATCATTAGGGCAATGTCACCAGAGCTGTGACATCTAAGCTGGTGTTTCTGTTGCTGTTCTATTTTTGCATTTTCCTTTCCATATGAACTTTAGAACTGGCTTGCCAAGTTTCCTTAAAAAACAAAAACAAAAACAAAAACCAACCCAGTTGAGATTTGACTCTAACTGTACTGAGTGAATTTGGGGAAGAAATGACAATTACAATACTGAATCTTGTTTTCATCCAGAAATGAGGTATGTCTCTCTCTATTTAGATCTTCTGTTATATTCTTTGATAATGTTTATAATTTTCTTATATATGTCTTACACATTTTGAGGCTTTTGTATTACTAGATACTTTGTGATATTTGTTGCTATTAATGTATTCCATTACATTTTGCTAATGTTTATTGCTGGTATATATGAAAACTCTTGGATTTTTATGTTTAACTTGTATCCAACCACTCTACATTACTCTTATTAATTTGAATAATCTGGAAGCTCTTAAGATTTTCCATTAATCCTTGTTTTTCTGAAATTTCACCATGACATGTGTAGGTTTGGACCCTTTCGTTTCATCTTACTTAGTTAATTTTGGGTCTTTTCAATGAAAATGTCTGCATTTTTACAACCCTGGGAAATTTTCTACTATTAAATTTTGGATTGTGTTTTTCTTTTTGATCCTTCTGTACTCTCCTTCTGAAACTCTTATTTGATGGGTATTGGAATTCCTGGTGATATCATCCCAAAGCCCATGAGTCCTTTTTCTTATTCTTTCTCTTTCTTTACCCTTCTGAGTTATATTCTGGGAGAATTCACTGACTTGATGTGCCCATCCTGGATTTACTCCTTAGCTGTTTCCATGTTGCTCTACAGCCAGTCTGTTGAATTGTTTTTCAATGATGAAAATGTTAATTTCCAATATGTCTAGTTTTTTTCTAAACCTAGATTCAATATACTCTTGAATTCCTCTGAGGATTTTAACTATACTTATTTTAAAGTCTTCAGTTTGTTCTGTTAACTTTATTTTTTCTAAATTCCAAATTAATGGATACAAGAAACACACCAGCACCTGGATTAAACATGAAAGTGATTAATTTTAGAGCTATGAGTCAGAGCTGCTGTAAGTAATTTAAATATATTTTGAGTATTTTTTCTGTAATGTCGATCCTTTTTTACTCCTTCATATCACAAGGAAGAAACATCCAATTGTAAAAAACAATATAAATTTTGCACCTAGTTTTTAAATTTTAAGATGATTTTCCTTTCAGGGTCTAAACTGGCCTGTGTATTTGTGTGACAGTATTTATATATAACCTAGGGTAAGCAGTACTTCCTTCAGATTATGTGGCTTCACATTTGCACAGTAAAGAAGTAACTGATTTAGTAGGAGATAAGGAGAGTCCTGCGTATACATTTCTGTCATAGCGTCTCTCAGTGACAAAGGAAAGAGGATAAAATTGAGGACCACTTGACACAGAGCTATAGCTCTTTTTCTCATACTGAACTTCAGCATCATCAGGGTTTTCTGTATGCTTTCCTTTCTGCCTTGTATCTATTCCTCTTAGCCTTTCCATTTTATTCCATCATTTCCCCAAGGGTTCCAGACTCCTGTTACAAATGGTGTATCAGCTTTTGTACTTGCCAGGATTAGTGGAGAAGTTGTGGTTTAACAAAGGCAAATCTAAGAACAAAAATGTAAAAGAAAACCAATCACTGTGGGGTGGTGGTTTTTGCTTTTTTTGTGTGTGGTGGGCGGAGATGAATTTTTATTCTGATATGATTTCAAACTAAATTTATAGAATAGCCCCGGGAAATCCTGGATACTCTTTATACAAATGCCAGTATATATTTTGCCCCATTTGCTCCCTGTCTCTCTCTCCATACATATGTGCATATGTGCATGTGTGTGTGTGTGTGTGTGTGTGTGTGTGTGTAGATAGAGAGAAAGTTAGAAACATTGTGCCCTTTTACCTCTAAATATTTCAGTAGGAATTTCCTAAGAACAAGAACTTTCTTTATATATTATCAAAATCAGGAAATTTAGCAATAATACAATACTATTATCTAATCCACAGTCCTTATTTAGATGTCATTAATTGCCATTTGTTGTAATAGTAATTTTTTACATTAAAAAAATTTGAGGGGTAGCCAATATAGGATCATGTGTCAGGTCTCTGTAATACCCTTTTTCTGGATCAGTTCCTCTGTCTTTTTTTTTTTTTTTTTTTTTGGTCTTTCTTTACTTTGGTATTTATGTGTATGTGGGAGTGGTGCTTTCACTTTTAATTATATATATATGTTTACATTTAAAAACAACAACAACACAGGACCGCCCAGTGGTGTAGCGGTTAAGTTTGTGTGCTCCGCTTCGCGGCCCAGGGTCTGCCTGTTCAGATCCTGGGTGCGGATCTATGCACCGCTCATCAAGCCATGCTGAGGCGGCGTCCCACATAGAGCAACTAGAAGGATGTACAACTATGACATGCAACTATCTACTGGGGCTTTAGGGAGAAAAAAGGGAAAAAAAGGAATATTGGCAACAGACATTAGCTCAGGGCCAATCTTCCTCAAAAAAAAAATTTCTCTAAAAAAACAACAACAACAAAAAGGATGATTATTTTGTCTTGAGAATAGAAAATCATTTCAATTATAAGGACAGTAGACTGGAGTTTTTAAGCTTTTGAAGCCAAGAAATCTTTACCTTGATTAATTTATTCAACAAATATTTATTGAGCACCTATTACTTGTCAGGCACTGTTCTAAGCACTTGAGAAACTTATGTTCTAGCAGCGAAGACAGACAATAAACATAAGAAATAAATTATATAGTATTTTAGAAGGTGATCAATACCTTCTAAGGTGATAAGTGGTATGGGAAAAAGAAAATATTAGAACAGTGTAAAGGGAAGCAGAATATCAGGGGGTGGGGTAGCAGTGTTAAAGAAGATGGGTAGGCTCATTGATAGGGTGACTTTTTGAGCAAAGACTTGGAAGGAGGTGAGGGAATTCCAGGAAGAGGGAACATGCAAGAGGCCCTAAGGTGGGTGTATGTCTGGCTGGCCCAAGGAACAGTAAAGGCTGGTGTGTGGAGCAAAGTGAATGAGGGGGGGAGTTGTAGAAGATGAGGTCAGAGGGGTAGTGGGGGAGGCAGATCAGATAGATCAGAGAAAGCTTTCACAGTTACTCTGGTGATATGAGGAGCCATTGTAGGGTTTGGAGTAGATGACCAGACTTTCTTTATAAAAGGATCATTCTGGCTGCTATATTGAGAATAGACTGCAGGTGGCAAGAGGGGAAGTTAGGAAGCAATGGAATTGATGCAGGAGAAAGATCGTAGTGATTTAAACCGTGGTGATAACAAAGAAGTTGGTGAGATTCTGGATGTATTTTGAAGGTAGACCCAATAGGATTTCCTGATGGATTAGATGTAGGGAATAAGAGAAAAAGGAGTCAAGGGTGACTTCAAGTTTTTCATCTTGAGCAACTGAAAGGATGGAGATATACTCAACTAAGATGGGCAAGGCTGCATGCAGAGCAGATTGAGAAGGAAGATCAAGAGTTCAGTTTTGGAAATCTTGATCAAACAAAATGTTTAGTGACTTATATGGCAAGTGTTAAAAAAATCTTACATATCTGTAGCCATTCACAAGGTGTGTGTGTATATATATGTGTGTAGATGTTTGTGAAATCCTAATGTTAGTTTATTAGGATACTAAGATTGGGAATGGAGGTTGTAAGAACTTCACTTTTCTTTTGGGTTCCTTATCTGAGTCACAGTACAATAGCCATGGCTCCACTCTTATGTAATTTGGACAAAAAGAAGACAGAGCTGGATTCAGACACACTATCTTCCTACAAAGTTACATTCAGAAATTTGGTAAAAGCATTTAAGCACTCTATTTGTAAAATACTCCTATGGAAAACGAAAATATTCTGGGGAATAGTAGGAAAATGTATAGGTATACTGTCATTGAAAATACAGTTTGACGTAAGATTGTTTTCTCTTTTTAATTCCATAATAATGGATGAGCACTGTAACCCACAATTTATGGGAATGCTCTGGGTTAGATAACAGATCAATGACCTTATAACATTAATTTCTTTCACATTCAGGTTTTAAAAACTAATTTGGCTATAAGTAGAACTGGACAGCACTCTGGGATATTGGATTGTGCCAGGAAGATTTGGAAGATTGAAAGGGTTACAGGCTTTTACAAAGGTTATATTCCTAGTCTTCTGGCTGTCGTACCATATGCAGGCATAGATATTACTACTTATGAGGTGAGTTTGTTTCATGATGGATTTACAACAGATTAATTAGATCTGAAAATATAATACAACTGAAAAATTTTTATCAAATCATATGCATTTAAGGGCAGAGTTAATAGAAAACACATTCTTTACATTCAGTTTTGCTGGCTCCTCTTCCTCAGGATTACATGCTGGTTTCCTGTAAGTATTGACCTCAGCCTCCCCTCTCTCTCCTTGTACTCAACCCAGTGTCCTTTGGTGACTCCATCTGTTGCTGGGTTTCAAGATAGCTGGTATACCAGTCACTCGCAGATCTGATTTTAAACCTCTCTCCTGATCTCCAGACCACCAGGGAGATTGAATGACATTGTTTTGCTTTCCATTTTTTTCTAGTGTCAGAAGTCTGATTTGGCTCTTGTTATTTTTATTGAGTTGCCTTGTGGATAATTATTAATAATAATTATCTACTTCAAATCAGTTATAGTCACTTGAGTCTCAAAAAAAACTTAAGGGAGGGGTCGGCCCAGTGGCGCAAGCAGTTAAGTGCGCGCGCTCTGCTGTGGTGGCCCAGGGTTCACGCCGCCGGTTCGGATCCTGGGCACGCACAGACGCACGGCTTGTTAAGCCATGCTATGGTGGCGTCCCATATAAAGTAGAGGAAGATGGGCACGGATGTTAGCCCAGGGCCAGTCTTCCTCAGCAAAAAAAAAAGGAGGATTGGCATCGGATGTTAGCTCATGGCTGGTCTTCCTCAAAAAAAAAAAAAAAAATTAAAAAAAAAAAGTTAAGGGAAGAATGTAAATTGAGTGTTTTTGGTGGTGGGGGGGCAAGGAATGAAAAATAATAATGACCTATTTTCTGTGTTAGAAGTGTCCAGTTTCACTTTGGTCATTCTCTGCAGCTGATTCTGACAGACCATCGACCATGACCTTCCTTATCCACCTCCCTCCCTTTTCAGTAATCCTGAGGACCTTCTGCCCCACCAGACTTCTTAATTCCTATCAGTGGTTAGGATAGTGATTAGGATCATGGACTCTGGATTAGGATCATGGACTCAGACCACTTGTGTTTAAATTCCGGCTCCATAATTTACTTAACCTCTCTGTGCCTGGATTCTCTCACCTTAAAAATAGATATTTATTCCCAATCAAATAATTATTGAGTTGCATGTCCCAGGCTCTGTTCTGGGTGCACCAAACAAGAGACAGAAAGTCCCGTTCTTGGCGAGTTCAACATTCTTTCACTGGGAGACAGACAATAAACAACGGAAACATATAATGCATTGGTGATAAGGGTTATGGAGAAAAACAAAGGAGGGAAGGAGAGTAGGTCGTGTTAGGGACTGAAATTTTAGAGATCATGGTCTGGGAGGCCTTTTGGAGAAGGTGACCTTTGAGTAAAGACCTGAAGGAAGTGAGGGGGTAAGCCATACGTGTATCTATAGGGACAACTTTTAGGGTGGGAGCATGCCTGTGCAGCTGGAGTGGAGTGAGCCAGAAGAGAGTAGTAGGAGATGAGGTCAGATAGTGAGTGGGGGACCAGATTTAGCAGGGCCTTGCAGACCCTAGAAAGGACTTTAACTTTTACTCTAGGTGAAACGGGAAACCACTGGAGGTTTTTGAGGAGAGGAATGCCATGTCTGACAAGTTTTTTTTAATAACAGCCTTATTGAGATATAATTCATATAACATATAATTCACCATTTTAAAGTACACCGTTCAGTAGGTTTTAGTATATTACAGGGTTGTGCAACCATCACTACTACCTAATTTCAGATCATTTCATCACTCCAGAGAGAAACCCTGTACCCATTAGTAGTCACTCCCCATTCCCATCTCCCCAGCTCCCTGGCAATCACTAATCTACTTTCTGTCTCTATAGATTTGTCTTATCAGGATATGTCATATAAATGGAATCATACAATATGTGGTCTTTTGTGACTGGCTTCTTTCACTTGGCATAATATTTTCATGGTTCATCTGTGTTGTAGCATGTATCAGTATTTCATTCTTTTTCTTTCTTTCTTTCTTTCTTTTTTTTTTGAGGAAGATCGGCCTTGAGCTAATATCTGCCAATCCTCCTCTTTTTGCTGAGGAAGACTGGCCCTGGGCTAACATCCATGCCCATCTTCCTCTTTATATGGGACGCCGCCACAGCATGGCTTGACAAGCGGTGCGTTGGTGCATGCCTGGGATCCGAACTGGCGAACCCCGGGCCACTGCAGCAGAGCGCGCGCAGTTAACTGCTTGCGCCACCAGGCCAGCCCATCTTTTTTTTTTTTTTTTTTTTTGGTGAGGAAGATTAGCCCTGAGCTAACATCTGTTGCCAATCCTCCTCTGTTTTATGTGGGACTCCTGCCACAGCATGGCTCAACAAGCAGTGTGCAGGTCCGTGCCCGGGATCTGAACCTGCAAACCCCAGGCCACTGAAGTGGAGCATGCGAATTTAACCCCTATGCCACTGGGCTGGCCCCCTGTTGCCCATTTTTAATTAGTTTATTTGCCTATTTATTGTTGACTTGTAGGAGTTCTTTGTATATATTGGATACAAGTCTCTTATCAGATATTTTTGATTTGCAAATATTTTCTCCCATTCCGTGGTTGTTTTTTACTTTCTTTACGGTATCCTTTGAAACACAAAAGTTTTAAATTTTGATGAAGCCAATTTACTTATTTTTCCTTTTGTCACTTGTGCATATCGTGTCATATCTAAGAAACCACTGCCTAGTATAAGATCACAGAAGATTTACTTCTATGTTTTCTTCTAGGAGTTTTATAGTTTTAGCTCTTATATTTAGATCTATGATCCATTTTGAATTAATTTCTGTATATGGTGTCAGGCAGGGGTCCAACTTCATTCTTTTGAATGTGAATATCCAGTTGTCTCAACACCATTTGTTGAAAAGACTGTTCTTCCCTACTGGACTGTCTTGGCACCCTTGTTGAAAATCAATTGACCATAAGTGTAAGGGTTTGTTTCTGACTCTCAAATTCCACTCCATTGATCTGTATATCTGTCCTTATGCCAGTAGCACACTGTCTTGATTGCTGTAGCTCTGTAGTAAGTTTTTTATCATAAATAGATGCTGTATCTTGTCAAATGCTTTCTCTGCATCTATTGAGATGATCACGTGATTTTTATTGTTAATTTTGTTAATGTAGTGTATCACATTAAGTGATTTGTGGATGTTGAACCATCCCTGCATCCCTGGAATAAATCCCACTTGATCATGGTGTTGTAGTAAGTTTTGAAATCAGAAAGCATGAGTCGCCCACTCGCGCCATTCCTATTCAACACAGTACTGGAGGTTTTGGCCAGAGCAATTAAGCAAGAAAAAGGTATCCAAACTGGAAAGGTAGAAGTGAAACTCTTGCTGTTTGCGAACTACATGATTCTATATATAGAAAACCCTAAAGAATCCACCAGAAAGCTATTAGAAATAATCAGCAACTACAGCAAAGTTTCAGGGTACAAAATCAACTTAGAAAAATCAGTTGCATTTCTATACACCAATAATGAACTAGCAGAAAGAGAACTCAAGAATACAATCCTGTTTACAATCGCAACAAAAAGAATAAAATATCTAGGAATAAATTTAACCATGGAGGTGAAAGACTTGTATACTGAAAACTATAAGACATTATTGAAGGAAATTGAAGAAGGCATAAAGAAATGGAAAGATATTCCATGCTCATGGATTGGAAGAACAAACATAGGTAAAATGTCCATATTACTTAAAGCAATCTACAGATTCAGTGCAATCCCAGTCAGAATCCCAAAGACATTCTTCACAGAAATAGAGCAAAGAATCCTAAAACTTACATGGAACAACAAAAGACCCCAAATAGCCAAAGCAATCCTTAGAAAAAAGAACAAAGCTGGAGGCATCACAATCCCTGACTTCAAAATATACTATAAAACTATGCTAATCAAAATAGAATGGTACTGGCACAAAAACAGACACACAGATCAATGATCAGAATTGAAAGCCCGGAAATAAAACCACACATATACAGGCAGCTAATCTTTAATAAAGGAGGCAAGAGCATACAATGGAGAAAGGAAAGTCTCTTCAATAAATGGTGTTGGGAAAACTGGACAGCCACGTGCAAAAGAATAAAAGTAGACCATTATCTTACACCATACATAAAAATTAACTCGAAATGGATTAAAGACTTGAATGTAAGACCTGAAACCATAAAACTCCTAGAAGAAAATCTAGGTAGTACACTCTTTGACATTGGTCTCAGCAGCATCTTTTCGAATACCATGTCTACTCAGGCAAGGGAAACAAAAGAAAAAATAAACAAATGGAACTACATCAGACTAAAAAGCTGCTGCAAGGCAAGGGAAACCATGAACAAAACAAAAAGACAACCCATCAACTGGGAGAAAATATTTGCAAATCATATATCTGACAAGAGATTAATTTCCAAAATACATAAAGAACTCATACAACTCAACAACAAAAAAACAACCTGATCAAAAAATGGGCAGAGGATATGAACAGACATTTTTCCAAAGAAGATATAGAGATGGCCAACAGGCACATGAAAAGATGTTCAACATCACTAATTATTAGGGAAGTGCAAATCAGAACTACAATGAGAGATCACCTTACACCTATCAGAATGGCTATAATTACCAAGACAAAAAATAACAAATGTTAGAGAGGATTTGGAGAAAAGGGAATCCTCATACACTGCTGGTGGGAATGTAAACTGGTAGCCATGATGGAAAACAGTATGGAGACTTCTCAAAAAAATAAAAATAGAAATACCTTACGATCCAGCTACCCCACTACTGAGTATTTATCCAAAGAACATGAAATCAACAATTCAAAGATATTTATGCACCCCTATGTTCATTGCAGCGTTATTCACAATAGCCAAGACATGGCAGCAACCCAAGTGCCCATCAACTGATGAATGGATAAAGAAGATGTGGTATATATATAAAATGGAATACTATGCAGCTTCAAAAAAAGACAAAATCATCCCATCTGCAACAACATGGATGGACCTTGAGGGTATTATGTTAAGCAAAATAAGACAGACAGAGAAAGACAAACACCATATGATTTCACTCATATGTGGAAACTAAACAAACGCATGGATAAAGAGAACAGTTTAGTGGTTACCAGAGGGGAAGGGGGTGGAGGGGGCTAGGTGAAAAGGGTAAAGGGGCACATATGTATGGTGATGGGCAAAAATTAGACTATTGGTGGTGAGCATGATGCAGTCTATATAGAAACTGATATATAATAATGTACACCTGAAATTATACAATGTTATAAAGCAATATGACCTCAGTAAAATAATTGAAAAAAAAGGAAAGGAAAGTGTGAGTCTTCTAACTTTGTTCTTCTTTTCTCAGCATTGTTTTGGCTATTTTGGGCCCCTTGCATTTTCATGTGAATTTTAGGATCAGCTAGTGTTAGAAGTTTCAGGACAGTGGAGAAAGTATGAAATAATGGTCTTGGTATGTTGGGAGAGTAAACGGTCATGGGATATATGGTATTATTCCAGGGAAAAATTAAAGGTCCACTTAACGATTTTATGAACATGAATTTAAAATGAGAACAGTCAGTGTGGGTGTGTTTTTCAGCCATGTTTAGCTGCATGGGAGCAGACATGGAGTTGGCAGAGTTGGTTTTAGGCAGGGTAGTTCAGTCATATCAGCATGATGAAGGGAGAAAAAATAAACAAGGGAATTGTAGGATAACAAGAGGACTTACCTCATGGGGTTTTTATGAGTGTTAGATTAATGTATGTGAAATGGTTAGATCTGTCCCGCACATGAAAAGTGCTGTGTAAGTGTGAGATACCATCATTATCATCAGTTATGTCTCGGAGATCATGTCTCTCTTTCTTACTGAAGTTGACTATTCTACCTTGGCTCTTGATCCAGGTTCTTGCTCTGTCAGTATTCCCCTTGGACATTTAGTAATCACCTTCAAGTCTCTTTTTCAAAGTAGAACAAAAGTCCAAACAAAACAAAATACAAATTTTCTCTCTAACTCCTCCTCCATTACTAGCAACTGCTATCAATTTCTCATTCCTTTACTCCCAAAGGATGTGAAGTTTTGTCTATACTTTATTTCCTCATTGTTTATTCTTTCCTTAACCTACGGTAATTTGCTTTCTAACTTTTGATCTACAGTTGAAAAGTCAAGTAAAAATCCTAAGTGAATCTGACAATTAGTCAAGTTTGGGAAACATTAAATAAGGAAAGGCTTTAAAAGCAGTGCGTTAGTTTGTTAGGGCTGCCATAACGAAATACCAGACTGGGTGGCTGAAACAACAGACGTTTATTTTCTCACAGTTCTGGAGGCTAGAAGTCCAAGATCAAGGTGTTGGCAGTTTGATTTCTTTCGAGATGTCTCTCCTTGGCTTGCAGATGGCCACCTTCTCCCTGTGTCCTCACTCTGTATCCAAATTTCTTCTTGTAAGGACACCAGTCATACTGGAATAGGCCTCTAAAGACCTCATTTTAACTTAATTACCCCTTTAAAGACCTTACTCAAATATGGTTGCATTCTGAGATCCTGGAGGTCAGGGCTTCAACATATGAATTTCAGGGGTGGACACAATTCAGCCCATTACAAGCAGTCAGTGCCATTGTGTAGCATCTTTAGATTAAAATGATTATTTTGATATTTCAAAACCGTTTAAGTAGTCATCTCAAGTATGGTCTGGAGATTCTGGGGATGGGTTCCTGAGACTCTTTCTGAGGGTCCTTGAAGTCTAAACTATTTTCATAATCTGAAGATGTTATGTTTGTCACTTTCATTCTCTTGCCAGTAGCGAGTTTTTCAGAGGCTATATAATTTGTGATGACATCATTGCTCTGATGGCTAATAACAATGTATTTTGGGTTTAAAGTTTTTCTGTTTTAATATCTAATATGATAGATAATATTGATAGATATAGCCCATGTAAACAGAAACTTTTTGGTGTCTTCAGTAATTTTTAAGAGTGTAAATGAGTCCTGAAACAAAAATATTGCTTTTAGAGGTAATGCAATTTGACACAATAAGCTTCTTTAAAGATACAGCAATGGGGCCAGCCCGGTGGCGCAAGCGGTTAAGTGCGCGCGCTCCGCTGCAGCGGCCCGGGGTTCGCTGGTTCGGATCCCAGGCGCGCACCAACGCACTGCTTGGCAAGCCATGCTGTGGCAGCGTCCCATATAAAGTGGAGGAAGATGGGCACAGATGTTAGCCCAGGGCCGTCTTCCTCAGCAAAAAAAGAGGAGGATTGGCGTATGTTAGCACAGGGCTGATCTCACAAAAAAAAAAAAAAAAAAAAAGATAAGGCAATCAGGGCTCTGACAGTCCAGAGTGGGTAGTGAGTTTCCATCACTAAAGTTCTCTGATCTCTGGTTGTTTGTACATAGAGAAGACTTTTGGATAATTCTAATTGCCAGGATGGTGCTTAGGAAAAGAGGTAATATTTAGGTAATTTGAGTCCTGGAAATATTGGGGGCTTGGTTAACATTAATTGCATTAAATTACACTAAAAATTGGCAGTTCAAAATGTATACCCTATGGCTCTTGCTACTTTGTACTGGATTACTGTATTTTGTATTCTTTGCTTTCATGTAATACAGAAGATAGAAAGGAGTGTATGTGTATGGTGAGAAAAGTACTAACATTTTATTATTGGTTTTCTTTAATAGTTCTTTTTTTTTTTTTTTAAAGATTTTATTTATTCATTTTTTTTCCCCCCAAAGCCCCAGTAGATAGTTGTATGCCATAGGTTCACATCCTTCTAGTTGCTGTACGTGGGACTCGGCCTCACGTTGGATGGAGAAGTGGTGCCTCGGGGCGCGCCCGGGATCCGAACCCGGGCCGCCAGCATCAGAGCGTGCGCACCCAACCGCTAAGCCACGGAGCCGGCCCACTTTAATAGTTCTTAAAGTGTATCATTACTTTGTTCTCTGTCAGCTTTTGAAGACTCATTGGCTAAACACTTATGCAGAAGACCCTGGGTTGCTGACTTTGATGGGATGTAGTGCCTTTTCTAACTTTTGTGGTCAGTTTGTCAGCTACCCTCTGAACCTAGTGAGAACTCGCATGCAGGTTCAAGGTGAGTTTTTGTGAGAAGAAGGACAGTGTAAAAAGCCCTGTGTGAGTTAGGGAATTTTATTTTTTTTAATTTTTACTTTCTGCTCTGAAGAATGTCTTAGAATCCTCCTCATTTCCATCATTCAGTGCTGGCTCTTTTCAAAAAACAAAATTAGGAAATCCTCCTCATATGAGTGGTAAAGGTGCTATTTATTTCAAATTGAGTTTTAAAGATCAAATCTGAACTTTATAATCACATGAAGGTGAATACTCTGCCTTGGTTGGTAGAATAAATGTCTCCACACTGGAGGTGTCCAGTCTATTCTTGAACTAGAGTTCACAAGATTGTGATAATGAAGGATTCAAAATTTAGATATCCATCTAAATGACTTTTAAAAGTTTTTTGCAAGATGATATGCAGTGATTCTGTTTTACTTAAAAAGAACTCAATGAAATACCTGTTGATTATTAGGAAAAAATTATCTATTGAATTCAGAAAAGGAAGATTCTATCTTTCAATTCATGGTGGTTGATTGTAGGAATTTTTGCAAATATATACACCCATGAGACTACCAACTAGATCAAGACATAGTACGTTTCCAGCACTTCAGAAGGCTCCTCCTTTATGCCCTTCTCAGTCAATAAACACCCCCACCCCAAGGTAATTATTATTCTGACTTTTATAACCATTTATTAGTTTGCCTGGTCTTGAAAACTACGTACTATCTTGGAGAGTCATCCATGTTGTTGCGTGAAGTCTTTTTCTTTGCTGTATAATATTTCATTATTTGAATACCAGACTTTATCCATTGTACTATTGATGGATATTTGAGTTGTTTCCAGTTTGGAGTTATTATGAATGAATCTTCTATAAATATTCATGTACTTGTCTTTTGGAAAACATAAGCACTTATTTCTCTCAGGTATATATATATATATGAGGAGAATATATAGGGTTATATATAGGATAAATGCATATTAAGCTTTAGTAGATATTGCCAAATTGGTTTTCAAAAATGCTTATTTCAATTTACACTATAACAGCAATGTATGAGTTCTCGTTTCTCTACATCTTTGTCAACACTTGTTATTGTCAATCTTTTAATTTAGACATTCTGATGGTTGTGTAACAAAATCTCAATGTTGGCTTTAATTTGTATTTCTTGATGACTAACTAATAATGTTGAAAACCTTTTATATGCTTATTTACCATTTATCCAAAAGGTATTTACCATTTATCCTTTTCTAGAAAGTGCCTGATCAAGTGTTTTGCCTATTAAAAAAAAATTAGATTGCTTTTTTGTTTTTTTTGATTTGTAGGAGTCCTTAATATATTCTGGATACAAGTCCTTTATCAAATTTGTATATTGCAAACATCTTCTCCAAGTTCGTGTCTTATATTTTCACTCTTTTTATGGTATCTTTTGATTAACAGAAGTTCTTAATTTTAATGACGTCCAAGTTACCAATCTTTTCTTTTGGTGTTCTGTTTAAAAAACTTTGCCTACCTGAAGATCATAAAATTTTTCTGTTTTCTTCTAGAAAATTTATTGTCTTATCTTTTCATATTTAGGTCTACAACCCAGTTAGGATATTTTGTGTGTATTTATAGTTTGAAGTAGGTGTCAAAATTTATTTATTTTTGTGGCTGGCCTGGTGGCATAGCAGTTAAGTTCACAGGCTCCACTTCGAGGGCCCAGGGTTCATGGGTTCGGATACTGGGTGCACACCGATGCACTGCTTGTCAAGCCATGCTGTGGCAGCGTCCCATATAAAGTAGAGGAAGATGGGCATGGATGTTAGCCCAGGGCCAATCTTTCTCAGCAAAAAAGAGAGGAGGATTGGCATCGGATGTTAGCTCAGGGCTAATCATCCTCACACACACAAAAAAATGTATTTATTTTTTTCTCATGTAGATATCAATTCAGCACAATTCATTGAAAAGATCATTCTTTCTCCACTGAACTGTGGTACATCTGTCTATGTGTGGGACTGTTTCTGAATATTCTGTTCCATTGGACTATGTGTTAATCCTTATACTAATAAGTATATTGTCCTAATTATTGTAGCTTTATGAGAAGTCTTCATATCAGGTATTATAAGTCCTTTAGTGTTGTTGCTTTTCAAGATTATCTTGGAAATTCTTGGTTCTTTGCATTTTTACATGAATTTTAAAACTATCTTGTTACTTCCTGCACAAAAAAAATCCTGCTGAGATTTTAATTGAGATTATTCTGAATCTATAGATCCATTTGAATAACTTACATTTTAGAAATCCATGAACATGGTGTATCCTTTCATTTATTTAGGTCTTATTTAATTTCTTGTAGTAATATTTTGTATTTTTCAGTGTAGAGGTAAAGTATATCTTTTGTTAAGTGTATTCCTAGGTATTCAATGTTTTTTTGGTGCTATTATAAATAAAATTTTATACAAAATTCATTTTTAAGTGTTTTTGTGAGCTTTTAGAAATGCAATTGGTTCTAGAACATTGATCTTGTATCCAGCGATCTTGCTAAATATATGTATTAATTGTAATAGTATATCTGTCAAGTTTTTTTCTTTTTGGATTTTTATATGTACACAGTCATGCCTTCTGTGAATAGCAATGCAGTCATATGCCACATAACAATGTTTCAGTCAACGATGGACCACATATAACACAGTGGTCCCATAAGATTAGTACCATATAGCCTAGGTGTATAGTAGGCTATACCATCTAGGTTTGTGTAAGTACACTCTGTGATGTACGTACAACGATGAAATTGCCTAACAATGCATTTCTCAGAATGTATCCCCATCATTAAGTGATGCATGACTGTAGTTTGGTTTCTTCCTTTCTAGCTTTTATACTTTTTACCTCTTTTTCTTGCCTCATAGCACTGGTTAGGACTTCCATTACAGTGCTATAATGGTAATGGTAAGAGGGAACATCTTTATCTCATTCCTACTCAGAGGAAAATTGTTCAATATCTTACCATCGAATGTGATGTTTGCTATAGATTTCTGGAATATACCCTTTGTGAGATTAAGAAAGTTCCCTTCTATTCCTAGTTTGCTGAAAGTATTTTTTAAATCATGAATAGGTATTGAATTTTATCAAATGCTTTTTCTGCATATATCAAAATAATACTATGATTTTCCCCCTTTCTTCTGTGAATGACACAATGATTTTCAAATGTTAAAACAACCTTGAAAGCATCGAATAAACTTCACCTGGTCATGTTGCATTAGTATTTTGTTAATGTTGGATTTGATTGATAATATTTTGATTAGGATTTTTATGTCTATATTCATGAGAACTTTTGGTTGTAATTTTCCTTCCTTGTGATGTCTTTGTCAGGTTTTGGTATTAAGGTTACATTGGTCCAATAAAGACAGTTAGGAAATGTTCCCTCTTTTTCTATTCTTTGGAAGAATTTGTATACAATCAGAATTATTTTTTCCTTAAATATTTGGAAGAATTCACCAGTGAAGCCAATTTTGCCTGGATATTTTTGATGGAAGGTTTTTTTTCTGTATTGTAATTACAGATTTGAGTACTTTAAATGGTATGGACTCTTCAGGCTTTCTGTTTTTTCTGTCAGTTTTGAGGTATTGTATTTTTCAAAGAATTCGTCCATTTCATCTAAATGTTTAAATTTATTAGCATGAGGTCAAAATTAATGTCCTTTTATTATACTTTTAATAATGACTGTAGGTTTTAAAGTGATGTCTCCTTTTTCATTCCTGATATTAGAAATTTGTTATTATTTTTTCTTTTCTTTCTTTTTTTTTTGTGAGGAAGATGGGCTCTGAGCTAACATCTGCCAATCCTCCTCTTTTTTTGCTGAGGAAGATTGGCCCTGGGCTAATATCCGTGCCCATCTTCCTCCACTTTATATGGGATGCCTCCACAGCATGGCTTGACAAGCGGTGTGTCGGTGCGCGCTCAGGATCCGAACTGGCAAACCCTGGGCCGCCGCAGCGGAGCACACGCAGTTAACGGCTTGGGCCACCGGACCGGCCCCGTTTTCTCTTTTTTAAAATCAGTTTTGTTGGGGTTTATCTATTTTATAAATTTTTTGACTTTGTTGATTTTTATCGTACATTGGTTTTCTATTTTATTGGTTTCTGTTCTTATCTTTATTATTTTCATCCTCCTCTTTCTTTTCTGTTTAGTTTCTTGGGTTGGAAGTTTAATCAGGGGTTGGCAAACTACGACATGCAAGCCAAATCTGACCCACCACCCATCTGTGTAAACAAAATTTAATTAGAACACAGTCACTTCCATTTATTTATGTTTTGTCTGTGGCTACTTTCATGCTACAATGACAGAGCTGAGTAGCTGCAAAGACCATATGACCCACAAAGTCTGAAATACTTACTATCTGGCCCATTACAGAAAAACTTTGCTGACCCCTGGCTAAGATAATTGATTTTAAATCTTTTTTCTTTTCTAATATATGAATTCTAAGTTCTAAATATCCCTTGAAGTACTGCTTTACTTACATCCCATAAATAGATATATAATATTTTCATTATTATTAATTTCAAATTATCATCCAAATTTTCATTGTGAATTTCTTTTTTGACCCATTGGTTATTTAGAAATATATTGCTTAATTTACAAACATTTTGGGATTTTCTGGTGATCTTTCTGACATTGAACTTCTAGTTTAATTGCACTGCAAAGAGAGAATGTACTCTGTACGACTTTTATTTTTTGAAATTTATTGACATTTGCTTTATTGGCCCAGATATGGTCTATTTTGGTAAATGTTCACTGCACACTTGAAAAGAAAGCAGATTTTGAAGTTGTATTTAGTGTCCTATATATGTGCTCTATAAGACCGATTAGTTAAGTGTTATTCAAATGTTTTATATTCTACTGATTTCTTTTTGTCAGCTTTTTCTATTGTTTACTGACAGAGGTGTGTTTAAATCTCTAACTATGATTGTGGATTTCTCTATCCCTCCTGTAGTTTGGTCAACTTTTGCTTTATATATTTTGAAGCTATATTATTATGTGTATTAAAATTT